CAAGGTTACCGAGTCCGCGCGCGCTGGGAAAACAAACACGGACGCCGAGTTTGAAACGAGGCTGCGTGAATGGGAGGCCATTTTTGATTTGGCTCGTAGTGCGCATGTGCGGTTTACGTAGACGACACTCTACTGCGCATGTCTGGAAAGTGTCCTCCAAGTGGAGTCAGAGCTGCACGCATCTGCAGACAATTATAAGTGAGGCCTCAGTCATGTTTTTCCAATGTGTGACACCGGTCTGTTATAAATATTTCTTTGCATTATACTTTAAACTTCAGGACGTCCATTGTGACGTAGGTTTGAGGCCAAATCATTCCACTGATGCAGAGCAGCAGTCCATGCTGAAAAAAGCTCCAGCACGCTTTTAACCTGAAAGGATGTTTTTGTCAAAATTTTACCCCTTCACTTTCTTCCTCTTCCAAATAACTTTGGCTCACCCTGACACTCATGTAAAACCAATCCTTTGGTTCGCCGAACTCGTGCCTCATTAAACTTCTTTTAATAGATGCCTTCCCAGATTTCAGCAATTATCTTGGTGAGTACAACTTTATCATTACCTATAAGAATGACGGCCAAGATAAAAAACCCAATAATAAAGAGGAATTATTATTGAATCTGTCACAGCAGGAAAAGCACATCGACCCAGGCTTCCCTTCGATGAATAGCCTTTCTGTCTGTACTGTTTCCACCAGAAAGATTAGACAGCCGGCTTCCTCACTGCTTCCCCTCACAAAGCCACACACACTCATACTATAACTCAGGAGCTGACAGCCTTCAGCTGTTGGTCTCGGGCCATCCTCTAAGTCCAATTAGCAGAGCACTTCTTGTTCCAAAACAGAGTGAAATTAACTTTTTAGTGCCAGAAATCTCAGCATTCTCAGTAATTGCTGAGTCATCGGTATTGCAATCCTAAACAATCCTAAACATTCCCATCAACAGATAACAGCTGTTTTTTTTGGGGGGGGGGGGGGGGGGGGGGTTTGTTCTTTTTGTGCTTTGGACCAGTAAGAGTATCAGCAACCTTTCAAATAAAAAGATATTTAACTCGGTTTCAAATCATGTTTTGCCATCCACCACAGACAGGTGAAGTTAAATCTCTCTCAGTACTGAGTGCACCAAGTTTGAACTTGTGCTCTTGGGACTTAAAACTCTGGCGGGAGAACAGTTCTCTCAATTCCTAATTGAGGCAGCAGTGTTCAACATTTGCTCAGTTGAGCTTAAGTAACTACACTTCAGCTGCACACTTCACAGCACCTTAACTTTAACTGTAACTTCTGCAAAACTAATTTGGCAGCAACAAATATTAGCAAGGAATTATATGTCATTGTAAAGCAACTGCATGCTGCAGCGTTAGAAACCAAACATGGCCGACAGCAGGCGCATGCATGTGTATCCTTCTATGATTTTGGTTTCCTTTTAAAAAAGTTAAGGCAGAAACTTCCTCTCTACATGAGACGGAGGGTCTTCAAAGTAATTCCATAGTTGCTCAACAGTTACATTGGTACCTTTACGTTCCCTCTTTTTATACCAAAGTCTAACTAGAACATGTATGAAGATAAGTCTCCGAGTTAATTCAACATTTTCCACCGAGGAGGAAGTTGTTATCGCCACTCCCCGGTCCCCGCTGCGCTCAGCTCGGTGCGTCCATGTGGGGAGCGATGACGTCATCGACTAAACACCATATATCAGCATTGCTCATGTGCATACGTCACAATCCATGTGAGTTATCAGGCTGAATATTGGTCGTGAGATGGGCAGCGTCACTCCTGAGCCTTTATCTGACTTTAACATAACTTTGCAGACATCCTGGTTGATAAACAGTAAAGACAGAACAGCAAAAAAAAAAAATCACCATCTTTCCCCTTTGCTGATTCTCTCTTACACGCCTCCCTCAGGAAGTCAGCTCCATCTGCTGCAGTCTCTGACACGATGCGTTCATGAGCCACACACAGGAGACTTATGGAAGGGAAACAGCACGGCTGCTATTTAATCACCTGTTTGTACATACTGATGCCCAGGGCCAGGTACAGATTTGTCTCTATTAAGCATTAATTTCATACATGAATAAAACATCTTTAAAAATTACTATAATATTATGAGTAGTGTTTTTTTGTAGATGAAGGAGATTTGTCAGTGTTAATGATATATATATATATATATATATATATATATATATATATATTGCAGTATTTGAACCACAAAGTAAAACATACACTACATATATACTACATGTCAGCAGCGTCTGTATATTCTTGATGTGTTTGTCTGAACTCCCTTCCTCGGAGGATGCTGTGGCTCACAGCGAGGAGGGAACCACCTCTGTCACTCTTTCTGTCTGGTTTCAGCTCCGCAGCAGCAGCTCAGATAAAAATAGAGACGTCCATCAGACAGCTGACGCTCTGTTGTTCCAGCGGGAGCAGCATCGATACCGTGATCTTCCACTGTGTGTTCAATGCCCAATGTCACATATTGCCCCTTATGTAACACATGTATCGACGTGCCTCCAATAAGTGAGTCACATTGACCTGCTGTGAAATGAGCCAGAACATACGACAGTGACCTTGACCTTTTTTTTTGAAAGGATGTTTTTTGCGACACAAATTCATTATTGTTTCCCTACAGCCGTGGTCAGCCGTCCTCAGCCTGATCTTATCTTAGTCTGATTCCCACACATGCTTTTAGGTTTATCTCTATCTAAGCTGTTCACATGATCTTCTCATCTCCATCTGCAACATAAAATATGCGATGCATGACAAAAAGTGCACTTGCAGTGTAGATCAGAGACTCAGTGTTGACCTACAAATAAACGGGTATCGAGGTCTCTTATCGATGGCTCCTGCTGCAGTTGGTATTTGAACATCATTGAATCGTCGTCGTCGTTTCAATTTTCAGTTAAATGAGTTATTTCCCTCGGTGAAGCCATTTGTACATGTTCCTTATAATGGTTATATTTATATCATGTTGTTCCAGCAGACAGGGGGGAGGATGCTCTGAAGACTGGAAGAGTGGGCAAACTGTAGCAAAGAAAAGTGCTATGTGTAACATCACGGTGTGTTTCAACCTGGCTTACTGCTCTGAGCAGCGCCCAGAATAACGCAGTGAGTCATCCTCGCTCATTACGAGACACAACACCTAGCTGTTCCAGTTCATCCACAATGTGCTAGATGGGGTTGAGGTCGGGACTCTGGCAAGTTCTTTAAAAACCAACCTGGGAGAATCAGGGATCTGCCATGAAAAACCGCCCCAGATCACAAGTACACGACATCGTGTTTGTAGGAGCGTCCGCACAACACAGCTGCTGCCAACACACCGACGTCTCCATAAGGTCACAATGTCTTCCAGTTTTATTATCTTATTATCTTATCCACCATCGATCCAATGAGAGAGGAAGAAAAAAAAAAACAATTGCTGGAGATCGTCTGCTGATAATTAAGTTGTGATGAAAGGCTGAATTACAATCAGTTGAGACGTAGAACTCAGACGGCGGCTGGCGTCCTCAACAAGGCTCCAACTGTGCAGCGCTAGCACAGCCAACTATTGTGTTTCCTACAAAAAAATGTATTTGCTGTTGTTGTTTCGTACAGAAAATATGGGGACAGAGTTGGCAGCACTGACCTTGAAGAGTGCGGTCAAGAGCATTAACTTGATATGAATCTCCGGAGAGTTGGAGGAGAAGGAGAAAGAGGAAGACGGAGGAGAGTGGATGGTGATGAAGGATCCAGAGCTTATGGTTTTCTTTTTTCGTGTGCGTGTTTTTAGGAGATTACAGCATGAGACTGAGACCAGGGGCCGGTGGACTGAGGTGAGACGTGTGAGGTCCTCACTGAATCTCAGTCACCAGCCGGGCTGCGTTCATGTCAGCGTCTGTGCACGTTTGAGGGGCTGAAAATGAGACAGTATCAGGTTTGTGTTTTCGAACCTGAGCTGCACCATGAAAACAGATCGCCCCCTATAGATGCACTTTATTAGAAGAGGGTGGACAAGGGAAGGCGGAGGCAGTATATCTCTTTGTTTTTAGTGCCCGTGCAATACTGAACACAAGTGGTTTGTGGTCGACCACTGTCACTGATAAACTCAAGTTATTGACCCTTACTTTCTTTTTCTGACGCCAACCACTCTGTACATCTGTACGTTATTGTTTCATAGTGACATTTCAAGTATCGTCTGTAATCACACAGTCGCCACGCAAACTGACATTTTGGCATCAGTTTGAAACGTAAAGAAACGGCAGCTTCGTCTGAGCATCAGCGATAGTTTTGTTTCAGTTCTGTGCTCTTTCTTTTCTTTGGTAAAATAAGCCAAAAACAGATATCGTTCGTTCTTTTAATCGATTAGCAGTTACCATTGATTTTGCAGGAACTGTATACCCATAATGCATTAGAAGATTACACACACTGAATTTTAGATCCATATCTCTGAAAACATCTTAGTCCAATCTCACATATCTCAGCCGACAGAATAACAGCCGAATAAGCAAGTTAAAGGCCCATTGTGCTGCCATCTAGTGGCCACAGTTCCCACTCTGCTCTGCAGTCACGAGCACCTCTGAAAACTTACTCAGACCTCAAAGGGATGGAAATCTGATCCAAAGTCGCACCATTTCCTCCCGCCATAACTCACTTATCCCAACAAGCATTTTCCAAAACTCTTTAGTGCGCAGAGAGAAGCTGTAACAGTGAGTGTAATCACTGTTTAAACATCAAATCATCCTCCTGAAGTGAGCTGTTTCTTTAATGTAAGGAATGCAGCTGAACCACAGGGACTGGCTTCAGAGGGACACACCAGAAAGCTTTCCTCGCAGATTAGATTTCAGTGAGAGAGGGATGCAGGGAACAGAGTGTACTACAGCTTGTGCCAGTCATGTTGACAGAGCTGCAGATGGAAAATATGTAAAGACAGGAAAGGTTGCAGTCACTCTCCTGATGCACCTCTGAATAACCCTGGTAACCTCGTTCCAAACAGGGCACACGTACATCCACCATCCATCCATCCCTTCCTACCTGTGGGTTGTCCTCCATGACGCAGCGGATCTTCTCCACCACGTCGATGCGCCGCTGCCGGTGCAGGGCGTTGATCAGCTTGGCCAGGTTGGCGTCGCTGTCCCGGATGGTCCAGTGCTGCAGCGCCGCGTACGCCCGCTCGTGATCCGACGAGTAGCCGTTGGAGAAGGCTGCCACCTCGCGCTCCGTGGCGTTGGCCAGCGACTGATAGATGTCGATCCACTGGGTGCCCACGTGGGCCGCCACCAGCTTCAGGATATCCACCCCTGAGCAGAAAGAGGGAGAGAGAGAAAAGTGGGTTTGTCATCATTTTTTTTTCACCTCATCCAGTGTACACATCATAGCACATCATCTAGGACACTGGTAACAAGGGGTTGCAAGATAAACCTGAGTCGATGATGTACAGGGCAGGGAAGAAGACGAAATATAGTTAGTCTGCACAGAATAATGTATTTTAGAGACTTTTCGCAAATGTTTGATTGTTTCTTGTGAAAAACTGGATACTTCGACCTCTTCAGGCATCAAAATCACTTTTTGCTGGAACTACTCTATGTGACATCTGGCTGGAAGCACAACTATTTTTAAAGTTCTAAGTTTAGAAAGCTCTGGTCTAGAGAATCTGTATGTGCAAGGTGGTCTGTGTATTATTTAAAAGGGCCACTCCATTAATTTTACATGTCAAAGTCAAGTAAGGTGAAGAAGTTGTACTCTGCCAGTGAAAACAGTTGTATAACAGCTTTGGTGGCTCTGGAGGAGTCTGAGCAAAAAACTGTCAAGGTCAAGTTATCAAGGCTTGGGCTTGGAAACTAAACTTTTTTTTGGGGGGGGGGCCCTTTGATGCCTTTATTTGATAGGACAGTGAAGACAGACAGGAAACACAAGGACAGAGAGCAGCGGGAATCACTCGCTGCTGAGGGCATTTGCGCCCAAGCTATCGGGTTTCCCCTGAGACTATAAACGTATTGTCAGAACCTGAACTGGGGCCGTGGAGTTACGAAGCCTCCAGCGAGTTTCATTACAGTCACAGTGGAGCTTCTCCATCTGTAGCTCCGCTTGCTTGGAAAACCCTTGTTGACACTGTAAGTCCCAGGAGGGGTTCATGGTTATGATGATGAAAAGTGGAGCTTGACCCAAAACAGGGACGAGAAAAATCAAGATTCTGGCCTCCGCTGCACCGTCCGGCACTGAGGTCCAGCCTGAACAGACCTACTGGACGGTGCGGCAGATTTATCCACGGTGCCCAGAGGATGTATCCTGCTGATGATCCCATGACTTCTCCTCTGGCTCCACCACGGGGACGAGATTTGAGGCAGCTGTTAATGTTTGATCATAATGAGAACGATTTGGACGACTGAAATCACAGGATTCCTTCAGACGTACAGTGAAGCTCTTTTGCTTCAACTGTACCACATACAGTTTCCGTCACCAGGTTGTCCAACTGAGTCCTGAGACCAGTGGCGCTCCACAAGCTCCAGCAATCCAGGAAAGTGCAACAGGTCCACCTCTTAACCGACACCTCACACATGCTCAGGATTACACACGCAAACACACAGCATGATGCAAGAGACAGTAGGTCGCGCCATCTCGTCTCGGATGTCCCCCGGATCAGCTGGAGCGACGACTTATTTTAGTATGTAGACACATACCTGCTGTGCAGTTGGCAGCGGTGAGACGCACGGTCATTCATCTTGAGGACAGACAGCTGTTGAGCCGTTACTGCTCCGGTAAGAGAAGGTTCGGATACCAAACACGTCGGGTTTGATCTCGTTCTCATCGATCAGAGGAAAGAATAAGCTGCGTGGAGATTTATCATCTCCGAATCTCTCGAGCAGCGATCCATGTTATAAACAGACTCGCACGGAGGAGAGCTCAACGATCCCAGCACTACAGCGTGCATTTATTAGCAATGCTTAATTAGCACATTTTTCGCTCCTTTTGACATTTCGTGTTCGGCTCTTAAGAAAAAGCAGACCTCACATGGACTCACGGGTGTTACGTTGAGTAACCAGTTCAAGAGGTCAAAGATTTTATGGGGAGCAGTCAAAACAAATACTTTACAAGTCTTTTCTAAGCCTGATGGACTGATGGACCTGTCAACGCTTGTTGTTGTTATTTATCTGATGCTCATACCAGCTAAGTCTAACTGGGGAAACACCACAACTTGGGCAGGATCGCATTTCGCTCATGAATCATTTTTTAAGGGTTCACACTATAGTCATGTGCTAGTTACACTGACGAATCTCCACGGAACAACAGTCGAAACTGTGCATCTTGCCGTCTCAGGCCACACTCAATTTTCCTATAAAAATCACACTACATTTTGTTTGCTTGCTCAGCCACTGTCTACATACCTGTCACCATCACATATAAGGTGACAGGTGGAAAGCAGCTCCAACACTGTCAGCACATACAGTCATATGGAAGGGAATGCACGAATCGTATACAGCCCATAGTCATCACTGTTTGTGTTAGTTTATAGTTGTTAGCATGTTGTTAGTGTTGTTGACTTGTCTCACACTTTTACTACGAGGTGGACAGAAAGCGTCTACAGTTGGTAAAGAGCTGGAGTTTCTAGAGATGCACACATGGCCTGGATTGTTATTGCTCGTCAGCTAATATCAGTCACAGCCGTGCGGGCGGCTGTCAGAGAAGTAGCTAATTACCAGAACAAGTTGTCATAGAAATTACAGAGCGTTTTACCTAACATGCTTTTTCAACGAATTGGCTTCGAGACTTCATTTCTCTATTGGCATTTAAACTGTGTGTCACGGTAAATAAATGCATCTCAGACAGCGTCACACTTCACTTTGTCCTTGATGATTTCTCTTGTGAAATGTCTTTAGCCATGAATATTGATTTTTCACAAGCAGCCTCTCCCCCTCAAACATCCTGCTGCCCGTTCAGACTCTCTCCGCTCCACTTCCCTTCAGACTGTAATGTGACTTGACAGTGACTCGGATAGAAATATAAACGCTGACTCATCTGTTTGCCTTTCGAAAATATAGAGCCCCCCCTTGTTTTGTTTGACATAGAAAATGCAGTGCTGATGGGCACATGTCTTCATGTGTGTGCATCACCCTGTGCTTTTATTATTAACGTGCACAGGTTTTCATCAGAAATGGTTGAATGATGATGGTGATGACATGTTTGATATGCATGCAGCAGGGTTGGAAATGACAGGAAAAGATGTCCGTGTCTCTGGAGTATTTAGGAAGTAGAATCATGGTGATGTACATGAACAACTAGGTCAAGAGGCATCTCTTAACCTAATTACCTGAAGGTTTTTATTTTTCATTCACCACCTTACCTCCTTTTTTCCTGGTCCTCCGATTGTATCTACAGTATCTAGATGCACTCTATGTATCTATGAAATATGTGTTTGATGAAGGACCGAATCATTGCATCAACTACGGCATGTCACCTGTTCCTGTATACACAGACATTTTCATGATGTAGATTTCACATATCCACCATAACTTGTTTGAATTATGAGCACGACTTCCAGTTATTCCTTACGCTGAACTGTCTTCGGGAGTTAGCATGATGCTACATGTGTCTTCTCTTTTCTTCAATTATGTGGCTGTCGCACCTTAAGGGAAAGTTAAACATTTTGGTAAAATATGCTAATTTTTAAATTTAGAGTTAGATGAGAAGAACGGTACCGCTCTCGTGTCTGGTGTGGTAAATATGAAGCCACCACCAGCAGCATGTAAGCTTAGCCTAACTTAGCACAGAGGCTGGAAAGCGGTGGAAACAGCTCGTCCAGTTCTGTCTAAAGGTAACGAAACCTACGATACAAATTTCTAGGAGTTGGATTTTGTCTAAAAAACAAAACTTAAAAGTAGAACTAAAATTTGTACCATACTGTTTATTGTAATTTCCTTTTTTGTTAAGATGGATTTGATATGATCTGAAAAAGTATCGTTAAGTCACTTGTGCTAAGCTAAGTCAGCTGGCTGCTGGCAGTTGCTTCTTATTCTGTGTACAGATAAGAAAGTGGCATCAATCATTTCAATCAGCAAAGAAACCAAATAAATGCATTTCCCACTTTGACAATCTTTTTCTTTAAACCCGATAATGCGATCATGCTTCTGTCTTCTACTACTGCGGGGTGGGAGGACGATTTGTAGAACTCACCAAACCATATTTTACCGTCTTGCACTACACGGCTGTTAAACTTCCTGAGCATCAACACAGATTAATTCCATAATCAGGCTGATCCCTGATTAATGTCTACTGTAGCAAACATGCTAAGTGCATAAATCCCGGAGGATTGAGAGAGACTGGACGAGAGAGATTAAATGGATGTTAGCCAGGCTTCACACACACATACACGCACTCTCGCATGCACACAAATGTATACACACAGAAATGCAAGCACACACGAGCCGAAGGGCCGAGCATAAATATGCACGTGAAGCCTGCACACATGCTTACACAGACACCCTGACAGGCAAAATACACTACATGCATGCAATCCCCCATACACTCATTCTCCACCCCAGCACCCTCACATGAACCCTAATGCTTTACAGAAGTGAGAACCAGCTTTGTTTGACCTAATTTTCCTTTTTCTTCAAATTGACTAAATACTCAAAGGTAAGACTAACACACACACACACACACACACACACACACACACACACTCTGTCCTCTACTTCTGCTCAAGATTAATAAACTTGTGTGAATCCTGAAGGGGAAGCTGGACTCGCGTGCCAGCCTTCTGGGCCGAGGGCCTGTCGACTCTCATCCACCTCTCCGGCCATAACACACACACACACACACACACACACACACACACACACACACACAGACACAGACACACACACAGATAGAAAAGAAATCCCCCTGCTCTGCATGCCTCACTGCCACTGGTAGCCGGCCACGTTTAAATGACCTATATAAGTCTCGTGATGATTCGGTATGTCAGCCTGCAGATGTGTTTATATTTGCGAGGGTAGTAGCCGCGTAGAGTGTTTGTTTGCGTGTATTCACTCGTCCCTTGTAAGCTCTTAAAATGTCAAACAGCGATAGTTTGAAATGTCAAACATCAGCTACTTGCTGTTAGTTGCTGGTATTAATAGAAAACTGACATATCACACTGTCATAGGAACTATAACAGCCTGGGAGGGACAAACTAAGCCATCTTGAAGGTGTGTCACTAGAGGCGAGTGTCATTTTGGCATGTATTACAGCACATAATGAGTTTTTGTTGACATTTGTGGTGCTGGAAAATAACACTAAAGTGTCGCCTCCCATCTGAGAC